TTAATATCGTTATAAAGGTTGAGCACTATCACGATCACTATCTAATCACATCGAGCGTGCAGCTTGAGAACACCCTATGAAAAGTTTATCATTATAATAAAATTTTCATAGACGCTTAACTGTACACAAAATATATTGAAAGTCCGATCGGCCTTTTACCCTTGGCAGCATTCATATAACTATCATGCATCAGAGTTATTCAACATTATATTTATCCGTTACTGGCAATGTCATGCATTTATTTATTTATTTATCTAAGTATTTTAAAATAGGCTATTTAACACACGAGCATGATGAATATTGATTAATCTAAGTATTAAAATAATGATAGGATAAGCTGTTCAACATCGCGATACTAAGACGATCAAGTCAGAACAGAAATATCATAATGATCGATCAAACTATATGATCGATCATATCGATCATGATAATTTTGACCGAGCAATCGGTCATATCAGTTCGATTCCAATCTCTATTCGGGACTAAACTCGAAGTAAAAACTTAAATTATCGACCATTATATTATATAAACAAATATTGTAAATTCGAAGGGCATATTATAAATGCGTTGAGATTCTTTATACTGGCAAACTTATGCTTTGAACTTTTCTTCGTTATAGCCGATCTAACTCTATTCGATCCTATTCGGTCCTGAACAGCGGTCTAATCGGATCTTTTAAGAGGGCGATCTTTGGACCAGGATGGGCCGATTAACAAACAGCCTTAATATATATTAACTATTAAATATTTGATTATTGCTAATATATGTGATTTCATTAAAAACTGCATATATATGTAAAATCGTAATAAAATCAAATTTTAATTAATGAATAAAGAATGATACTGCTTTGCACATTATTAAGTATTTTAGTTAATAACTCGACTAGTTGATAAAAATAATTATTAATTATCATTAATTCAAGAGGTTCCATCACTAGGCACGAGTACAAATAATCATAACAATAGGCAAAGTTATATTAAATTTACTATATACTACTACTAAAATTTCGAATAATTACTAATGCACTATAATTTATTTATTTTGAATAATTGAGAAAAATTAGTCAATGTAATAATAGATAGTTTTATTAACTAATATTAAAAATAAGATATTCAAATTTGTAAATATATTATACGTATTATATTACACCTTAATTTCGTATTAATCTAGGTTGAGTAAGTATATATGACATTATTTTCAAGTAAAAATGGGGCTTCAATCATATAGAATAAAAGGAGTTTATCCCGTGATCAGACGGTCCAAAAAAAAACAAAGTTAAAGTTCGCGAATCTTCTTTATGGTGATTTAAAATTAATATGTTTAGAAACCTCTTTATGTAACTTAATTTCGCATTTGGATAATCATGATGTCATTTACAAACCCGTGAGCTATTCAGATTTATGAATATTTACATTAAACAGTATTTTAATTTCATTAATCAGTTGGATAAGTAAAAAGTTAGTGCATTTTAAAATAAACTACTCGTAAATGTTATCATTGCATTATGTAATAAGTACTATATATACAGGATATAATATTTGCAACAACTTTTACAAGTCTCCTAGCTACAAGAAATAAGCTTGGTCGAACAGTAAAAAAAAAAAAAAAAATTAAGAATCTTTCGCTACGAACTTTGATGATTAATGAAATGATTATCTATTCATAAAACCAGTGTGTTATCTTAATTCTAAAAAATACTTTACCAGTAAACAATATAACACTAGTGGAGTGTTATCTTATGTTATTGCAGCATTGCAGTGTTTAACATAATACTGCAATAGCATTATAATATTTAGATACAACAGCATACAACAGCATTATAGTATTTCAATATACAGTAATGGCATAAGGCATTACGGAATTACGGAATTAAGGTATTGCGGCATTACGGCTTATGACACAAAATAATTGTGGCAAATAATAATACAGCACATGTCGTAACCGTATTAATTTACCAAATTAATTCTACCGCCAACACTGATTGGTGGACTTAAAAAAAAATTTTTTTTTTAAATTGAAGGGTACGTAGGCGGGTAATGCAAACCGAAAAATCAACTTTGCGTGGCCTAAGCTATTTGAGAACCATCCTCGAAAACGATAATAGATACAGTCTTCAACAACCAGATTATTATAATGGGGTTTCAAAATAAATGAAGCATTTCGAAAATAAGTAGAATTTTTTCAATAGCAATTTTAATATGTTGAATTATAAATCGGAAAAATAAAATAAGATTCTCTAATTTTAATTTTAAAACCCCCTAATATTAATTTCTATAAAACCAGGAGAACGAAAGTCGAAAGAAAAGGATAATGATTTCTATTTCCAAACATTAATTAGAAAGTTGCATCTGTTACACAAAGAACAAACTTACCAATATGGTATCATAAATCGGAAATATGCATATTAAAGTGTACACAACTTATCACGAACTACAAAAAAATGTGCAACTATTGTTTCATTGATAAATACCCGTATCGTATGATACAAACAAACCCGCAAAAGAAATTTAGTTACCAAAATAAACATAAACCTGTGTTGCAATAACTAAATAAATTGTTACACAACATATAGGTATCAATTCATACTGTACGACTCAAACTTGCTAATATTGTTATTTTAGATAACAACATTTTTTATTGTCCACTTCTAACCTTTCTAATGTTTATTTCTATACCTTATATTCGTTTGAATGGTCAATGGTCAAAACGAACAAGATGTTCAAAATGTTCTTTATTTAGAACGTTATTTATCTCTATTATTTTTTTTATTATAATTTTTTTTCTATTATTTGATCTTAAATTAAGTATTAAAGTTTATTTGAGGGATTGGATTTCACATGAAGAATTTAAACAAGAAAGTTTAAGTAAATGTTTTGACAACATTCCTAATAATACTAAATCATCAATAATTTACAATGAAATTTTAACCGATTTACCTCTCACTAATGGTTGGGATTGTTACGATTTTGCAAAAAGTATAAAATTAAAACCTGGTCAACCTCGTGAACATATAATTTATCATGCTTATTGGCGTGCTGATTTACGACCTTTAGGTGATAAACAAATCGCTACATTAAAATCTTTCTTTGCTACTCAAGATGCAAATTTTTCTTCTTTGATTCTTTGGACTAATGGAAATATTTCGAACACTCCTTCTCTTAAACCATTATTTGAACGTTATTCTAATCGATTCATAATTAGAAATTATGATGTCGAATTAGAAAGCAAAGGAACTCCAATAGAAGGTTCACCAAACATTAAACTTAATGATAAACAAGCTTACCTTGATGGAGATTTGATTAGACTCCTTGTTTTATATAAATATGGTGGAATGTGGTTTGATATGGATTCTCTTTTAATACGTGATTTTTCTCCACTCATGGAACATGAATGGCTTGGTCAATGGGATTGCTTTATGCCAAGAGGTTATCCTTTTAATGGTGCTTTTATGAGATTTCGAAAGGATTCTCCTTATTTATGTGAACTCCTTTCCGAAATAGCTACTGGTCCAGTTCCTACTAAATCTTCAATTGAATGGGGTGGAAGACTTTATTATAAAATTTTTAGACGTTTAATTCAAAATGGAAAAAAACCATTCGATATGATTCCTTGGTGCTTTGTCGATCCTCAATTATGTCATCCATATAATTCAATGCCTAGTGCATTTGATGAAACTGAATTTGATGAAGAAAGATTATTACAGGTATTTGCTTTTCATTGGCATAATCAATGGGATAAGAAAAAAGGAAATTTATTTAGATTTCTGGAGCAAAGAAATAATGAAATTTTGGGATTTTAAAACATTTATTAAAACTTTATGTAATTTATAACGATAGATTTGTTAATACATAAAAAAAAAATCATATTTTCGTTTAGTTGTAGGTCTATAAAAAAATAGGGTATAAAAATTTTTATTAGTAATAAAGCGGTGGCATTTTATAGGGCTGGAGCCTTAAATATTAGGTTCTAAATTTTTTTTAAAAAAACTGTAAATTAATACTGCAATTTATCAAACATATCAAATAATATAATAAAAATCTAATTCATTAATATAAGCACCATATTTATATTAATACGCAGCGAACAAACATAAATAATCCATGAGCTCATGATGAAAACATAAATAGTTTATTCAATAGTTCATTCATAAAGTATAAAGAACAGAAATCTTTGTTGTAAGCGCATACTTTCTTCCAATTTTTGTAACTTATTATAAGAAGAGTACTATTTAAACGAAGATCAGCAGAAATTTGTTTTTTTTTTTTTGGCAAAGGTGACTCTAATTGTTAGCGAGATTTTATTAGGCAAGTATTAAACACTATACATTATGACGAAGGTACATCAAGCCACATATACATCTTTTAAGTACACGAACTCTTGAGATAGCAACAAATGTAAGACCTATAGGATATTCCTTCGTGATAATATTAAGCTTTGCGATTTTATGACTGTATTGCAAAACTTTTTAAAAGATTATAATAATTGTCGGAAAGCTGGCAGGCAAGTTGACAAAATATTTTAATTTTCTAAAAAAGTAAAACCTCAATAAAATTACAGTAATGAGAATGTAATGAATAAATTCAATATTTTGTTTAAACATAAGATTATTTGTCTGTTCATTATTTTGATCTGCTATTTCTTAATAGAATTTACCGTTGCGCTAATCTTGCTTTTGTTGATTCATTATATAGCTTAAGAGTCATTGAAGCTAATCTTTGGCATTATTTCTTGCGGTTTTTGGATTAGGCGCATCTTATTATAAACTTTAATGTATCGAACTATTAATATGTTTATTAACTAGTTTTTCTTTTAATATTTTTATTCGATGATCCGGATTAAAAGATTTACAGGGGATCATCGATAGTTTATCATAATTGCAGGGGTAGGAGCCGGACATCGGCAATAAATGAGAAACTAGTTTTTAAGACCCGGGCGTTGCCTCGGGTTCAAGTTTCTAATTTTTTGCTAATTCTCAGGCCTAGCTTTTAGAACTTAGTTTGTAATTAAGCCTAATTTGGATTCAAATGAAGCCAAAGTGGGTTCAAATGAACCCGACATAGGTTAAATAAACCCAAAGTGAGTTCAAATTAACCCAACGTGGGTTCAAAGAACCCGAAGTGGTTCAAATTAACCTGACATGGATTCCAACGAACCCGAATTGGGTTCCAACGAACCCGAATTGGGTCCAAACGAACCCAGATTGGGTCCAAACGAACCCGAATTGGGTCCAAACGAACCCAGATTGGGTCCAAACGAACCCGAATTGGGTCCAAACGAACCCGGATTGGGTCCAAATGAACCCGGATTGGGTCCAAATGAACCTAAATTGGGTTAAAACGAACCTAAATTGGGTTCAAAGAACACGAATGATATAGTTTTGAATTTCGGCCTAAATTAAGCTTAATTCGGGCCGAAATTCGAAGTAAACCTCTGCACGTTATATACGGTATACGTTTTATTGTTTTTGAAAAAGCTTTTTTCTTTACTATATAAACCTCTTTTCAAGGTCTAAATAAAGTTGTAGAGGAGTGTCTTGCGATCAAAATGGTGGTAAAAACGTTAAAATCAGCTCAGTAGATCGCGAGATATAAGCCTCTTCGTCTTCGCAACAACATGTCTCTTCTTTATATAAATAAAGAAGAAAATGTATAATCGCAAAGACAAAACAGTTTATAGCTCACGATCCACCAGGCAAATTTTAACGTTTTTATCACCATTTTGGTCGCAAGACACTCGTCTACAACTTTACTTAGACCTTGAAAAGAGGTTTACTTAATAAGAACAAAAGAAAACTCCAGATTCCAAAAACTATTCCAAAGACAATAGTAAATACACTTTGTGTAACAATGTCTTTGCTGATCCTTATGTTCGCGCCTTTAGCCCAAGATATCTCAAGAACCACTGGGCTGATTTTAACGTTCTAACTGCCATTTTGACCGCAAGAACCTCCTTTACAATTTTACTTAGATTTTGAAAAAGGTTTACTTAGTAAAGAAAAAAGTTTTTTTTTTTTTGAAACCTATCTTTTAATATAAAGTCTATGGTTAGCCAACCTATTGAACGAAATACTTCTTCGTCACTACCATAAAACACAAAATTACACTCTTCTTTTTCATCTTTCACAACTAGCCAAAAATAATATAACAATTTCCTCTATTCCTCAAATCACAACCTTCCCTTCCTTTATTCCAGAACACTCACATCTAATTTATGATATACTTCCAACAACTCCTAATAATCTTACAATTAACAGCCTC